GGCTCCCGCTCCAGCCAGGCTCCCGCGCGAGTCGTGGGTCCGGCCCCTTAGGGCAGGGTATGCCCCCGGCCCCCGCCCTCCACCACAGCCCGCGGCGCCCTCCTAGCGGGCTCCAGCCCCCACGGGCTGTAGCCGCGTTGGTCTGAGCACATAGGCGAGGGGCGCTGGGTAGGCGTCATATTTATGCTTGCCTAGGCTTGGATAGTCTGTCAGATCGCATCTGCCCAAAGCACCTTGCCTGGACATGCACAAAGGAGCAGTTGCAGCCCTGCTGCTCCCTCGCTGACAAATGTCCAGAGCGGTGAGGAGCCTGCCCGCAGGCCACGGAGTGAGGCCCTGCAGGAGAGAGCAGGCTGGGGGGTGCCCAGGCAAGGCCTCAGAGGGGCTGGACCCAGCACCAGGCCGGCGTGGGTGGTGTGCCGCACCGCACCAGTCCAGCGGCCCATGGACCAAGCCCAAGCCCCTCTTCTGGCTTGTGGAGGTAAAAAGCTTGTTGCTGCTGCGCTACAGCAGTGCTTCTCAAACTATCTGATGTGGCGGACCAGCAATTTTTTTCCATTGGGCCAGGGACCTGTGCCCGCTTTAGTGGGTGGCAGCAACCGCGTGTAACAGCGCTACACAAATGTGTGACTGGCTGTTTCTTTCTCTCCTCACCTGGAGCGTTGGAACATACGAACTGTGGCTATGACACACCAATGTTATGCTTCTGAAAATATATTTCTTTCCCGGCAACTCGCTGCAGACTGGCACCTGATGGCTCGCGGACCAGCGCCAGTCTGCGGACCACCACTTTGAGAAGCACTGCTCCACAGCATTAAGTTGCCAGGCCCCATATGTGCTCCAGTGCTGTGACAGAGCAGGGGCTGCCCTGCACGCAACTTGCACCCCCAAAAGAAATGTTAGGGCAATTTAAAATCTCCCTCAGAAAAATGAGATGCTCTTCTAAGTTATTTCTCTTCCGAATCTTTCTGCTGCATTGCATTCAAGCTGGTTGTCCTTTCCTGGCAGGCACTTCTGTTACAAAACATGAACCCCAAGGTCTGGGGCTGGGCCTCGGCCTCAGCCCCCATCAGACAGTGCCAAAACATGGCATGCATGACCCTGCACACAGCACAGATGTGTGGGGTCCAAATTGAGAGGCCAAGGCACATGCACACAGATGTGCCAGAAGTCAAACATTCAGTGATATGAAACACTGAATGTGCCCCTACATGTGCTCAAGCACAATCACCGTAAGGAACCTGTGAATAAATGCATAAGAGGGCCCCAATCAGCCCTGTGCCCAGGACCTCCAACATCCTTAAGCCAGCCCTCTTTGAAGCCCTCAGTACTTCCCAACCTAAAACATTTCTGTTTTTATTTTATATTCTTCCCCATCTTTTTCTTCCTAATTCATACTATTTCCATGCTTGGTAAGCAACTTAGCAAGACATCAGGTTCCAAGTTTAGAAAAAACGCTTTCTACCAAGAGTCCCCTCCTTCCTCCCTCCAAATCTATCCTTTTTACTCATGACTTCCAGAAATCTTCCTTATTGTGTCCTAGCTCAGCCTTTTCATATCCTCGGAATTGCTGTTCCCTGTTTAGTCTGGTCTCTTCTGTGAGAGGGTATAAACTCTTGGGAGCTGGAAATGTGTCTTAATCTGTTTGTAAGTCATTGCCTGGACTTGTGATGTGATATAAATGATTAGTAGTAATTATTACCTCTGTTTGTTTTGCAAGGAAAAGCTTTGCCAGGATTAGACATCAGTCCCAGGGCTATGCTTTCTTTCTTTTCTTTTTTTTGAGGGGGGCCGGGGGAGTAACTTACCAGATTCAGCATTCTTCCTGAATCACAAGGAATCTGTTTGCCACCTTGAATGGATAGAATCACATCTAATAATTTAACAATAGAAATTTAAAAACACCAATATTAGGAAAATTAAAGAGCTGCTAGTCAAAATAGCAAATACAATGTTTGAAGTTATTAAAAACGGAATTAAAAACAAAACGAAAATGCCATCATACCACTGTATAAATCTATTGCTTGACCACACTGTAAATACTGAGCAGTTCTAGTCGCCCACCTCAAAAAAAATTACACCATAGGACTAGGAAAGGTGCAGAAAAGGGCGATAAGGATGATTAGAAGTATTGAGAGGCTTCCATCTGAGGAGAGACTAAGTAAACTAGGACTTCTTAGACTAGAGAAAAGCAAGATGACAGGATGATTTTTTGGGGGGGAGATATTAATATAATATAGCTCTTAGCATTGAGGAAGTAAATAAGGTCTTCCTCTTTATTATCTCTCTCAATAGGGAACTAGGGGACAGAATCATTAGGTGGCAGATTTAGAATAAATAAAAGGAAACTCTCTCACGCAACTCTAACTTATGACATTGGTTGTTGTAGAAGCTGGTAATTATAACCAGGTTAAAAAATGTATTGGATAACTTTATGGAAAATAGGTCCATCGGACTATCTTTGTGGTCCAACCCAGGATTTCATATCTTGTTATAAAGAAAAATTGCAGAAGAGTGTACTTCATCTTCATTCTTAAAGGAATGATTATAGTAATATAGCAGAAGGACCACACTAAAAATCTGTTATCAAGGCACTGTATACAAAAAGCTGGAAAGGATCCCAAGGCAACTGATAAAGATGATAAAAGCAGGTAAAATGCAAGCCATATGGAGGGAAGGTTGCAGGAACTAAGTATAATGAGTTCAGAAAAAAGGATTAAGGAGACGAGCCTGGCAATTTTCAACTATTTGAAAGATTGCTATAAAAAGAGGGAGAAAAATATTCTCCCTTGTGCAAGGGAGGGCAAGAAGCAATGGATTTAAATTACAGCAAAGCAGATATTTAACTCTTAGGAAAAACTTTCTACTTGTTAAAACAATAGGACAACAGCTGCCTAGGCAAGTTATGGAATCTCCTGCACTGGCAGTTTTGAAGAGACTGGATAAGCATCTTTCTGAACTGGCTTAGGAACAGTGGATCAATCCTGCATCAGTGTTGTGGGCTGGAATACATTACCCATGAGGACCCTCCCAATTCTATGGGCCTCTTTCATCATAACTGTTCACAGCATCTTAGAAAACTGTTTTTATACACTAAATCTTGTTCTGGAAGACAACTCAATATGCTGCTGCGCTACAGCAGTGCTTCTCAAACTATCTGATGTGGCGGACCAGCAATTTTTTTCCATTGGGCCAGGGACCTGTGCCCGCTTTAGTGGGTGGCAGCAACCGCGTGTAACAGCGCTACACAAATGTGTGACTGGCTGGTTCTTTCTCTCCTCACCTGGAGCGTTGGAACATACGAACTGTGGCTATGACACACCAATGTTATGCTTCTGAAAATATATTTCTTTCCCGGCAACTCGCTGCAGACTGGCACCTGATGGCTCGCGGACCAGCGCCAGTCTGCGGACCACCACTTTGAGAAGCACTGCTCCACAGCATTAAGTTGCCAGGCCCCATATGTGCTCCAGTGCTGTGACAGAGCAGGGGCTGCCCTGCACGCAACTTGCACCCCCAAAAGAAATGTTAGGGCAATTTAAAATCTCCCTCAGAAAAATGAGATGCTCTTCTAAGTTATTTCTCTTCCGAATCTTTCTGCTGCATTGCATTCAAGCTGGTTGTCCTTTCCTGGCAGGCACTTCTGTTACAAAACATGAACCCCAAGGTCTGGGGCTGGGCCTCGGCCTCAGCCCCCATCAGACAGTGCCAAAACATGGCATGCATGACCCTGCACACAGCACAGATGTGTGGGGTCCAAATTGAGAGGCCAAGGCACATGCACACAGATGTGCCAGAAGTCAAACATTCAGTGATATGAAACACTGAATGTGCCCCTACATGTGCTCAAGCACAATCACCGTAAGGAACCTGTGAATAAATGCATAAGAGGGCCCCAATCAGCCCTGTGCCCAGGACCTCCAACATCCTTAAGCCAGCCCTCTTTGAAGCCCTCAGTACTTCCCAACCTAAAACATTTCTGTTTTTATTTTATATTCTTCCCCATCTTTTTCTTCCTAATTCATACTATTTCCATGCTTGGTAAGCAACTTAGCAAGACATCAGGTTCCAAGTTTAGAAAAAACGCTTTCTACCAAGAGTCCCCTCCTTCCTCCCTCCAAATCTATCCTTTTTACTCATGACTTCCAGAAATCTTCCTTATTGTGTCCTAGCTCAGCCTTTTCATATCCTCGGAATTGCTGTTCCCTGTTTAGTCTGGTCTCTTCTGTGAGAGGGTATAAACTCTTGGGAGCTGGAAATGTGTCTTAATCTGTTTGTAAGTCATTGCCTGGACTTGTGATGTGATATAAATGATTAGTAGTAATTATTACCTCTGTTTGTTTTGCAAGGAAAAGCTTTGCCAGGATTAGACATCAGTCCCAGGGCTATGCTTTCTTTCTTTTCTTTTTTTTGAGGGGGGCCGGGGGAGTAACTTACCAGATTCAGCATTCTTCCTGAATCACAAGGAATCTGTTTGCCACCTTGAATGGATAGAATCACATCTAATAATTTAACAATAGAAATTTAAAAACACCAATATTAGGAAAATTAAAGAGCTGCTAGTCAAAATAGCAAATACAATGTTTGAAGTTATTAAAAACGGAATTAAAAACAAAACGAAAATGCCATCATACCACTGTATAAATCTATTGCTTGACCACACTGTAAATACTGAGCAGTTCTAGTCGCCCACCTCAA